AGCAGGGAAGGAATGCCAGAGGGAAGGATGGGGGCAGCAGGGAAGGAATGCCAGAGGGAAGGACGGGGGAGCAGCGGGGAGGAAAACCAGCGAGCTGGATAAGGGAAGACAACGGGAAAAGACGGGGGCAGAACAGGAAAGGGAAGGAATGCCACAGCGGGACGGGGGGCATTAGAAGGAGACCCCTAAACCCTCGGGGCAGCCTCGGGCAGCACCGCCCGCGCCAGCACCTGCTGCTCCCTCCTTTTCCAGCTTTCCAAGCAGCAATTATCCAACCCCTCCTGGGGGCCGGGGCTGAGCTGTCCCCCGGAGCTCTCCCTGCCCTCCATCCGCCCGTCCCACGCCCGGCCGGGGGTCACGGCTCCCGAGCCGCTCGCCCACCGCCGCGGCGCTGACGCAGCTGAGGGGAGGGCGGCCAGCGCGCCTTTACCTGCGCGGGCAGCGGCGGGGAGCGCGCAGAGCGGCGGCCGGCGGATCCCGGGGTGCTCCCGCGGCCGGCGGATCCCGGGGTGCTCCCGCGGCCGGCGGATCCCGGGGTGCTCCCGCGGCCGGCGGATCCCGGGGTGTTCCCGCGGCCGGCGGATCCCGGGGTGCTCCCGCGGCCGGCGGATCCCGGGGTGCTCCCGCCTCCCTCTCCCGCTCCCGTCGCCTCAGGAGCGGCGCTCCCGCTCCCCCCGCCGCCCAAGCGCCGCCGTCGCTATGGCGACTTCTCGCGAGACCACATCTTCTTCATCCTCCTCCTCCGCCACCTCACGGGTGCCCCCCCCTCAAGGTGCCACGGCGCCGCCCGTTGATTAATTAAACCCGCCTCAAAATCGCCGCGCTCTCACAGGTTTTTTTTCAATTTTTTTTTTACTTGTAAAAAAATTTTTTTTTATAATTTTTTTTTTTTTGTGGTATTAATTTTAAACCAGCGCGCGTCGCCCGGCAACCAGGCGCCGCCCACTGACCTACTTCTAAAATTAAATTTAACCCGTTTCTCCGCCGGCAGGGCCGCGGGGCTGTGTCCCCGCGTTGCCCTCAGCCCCTCGTGTCTCGCAGCCCTCCGCCTGTGCCCAGCAAAAGCCGCTCCCGGCGGGTTTCTGGGCGCTTTCCCCTCCCCGCCGTAACGAACACAAGATGGCGGGCGGGGGCGGCGGTGCCGTTCAAACCCGCGGGCCCGGCCCCTCCCGTCCCAGCCTGCCCCGCGCTTTTTTAACGAATTTCGGTTCGAGTTCGCCGTTTCGGCGCCATTTTCGAGCGTGGAAGCGGCCGAGCTTCTACGGCAGCCGCTGCCGCCGCCTCGCCGGGGCACGGAGCCGCCGGGACGAGCAGGTACGAGCTCGGCGGGAGGAAGCGATGGTGGCTCGCCTCAGGGCGGTGGGGTGGGGGGGGCTTCGCGGCGGAGGAGCTGCCCTCAGGGGGGTGCTGAGGGGATGGTGCTGATGAGGGGGGAAAAAAGAGATGCTGCGAGAGTTGAGGGGAGACAAGGGATGCTGAGGTGGAGAGGAGGATGTTGGAGGGGAAGATGCTAAGGGGGTGTTGAAGGGAAGGTGCTGAGGGGGAGACAGGCGGCGCTGAGGCGGGGGGTGCTGAGGGCATGGCCGGAGGCGCTGGGGGACCGGCGGGTTCTGCCCCGCTTCCCTCCTCGCCCGGAGGGAGCAGAAGCGGCGGCAGCGCCTCTGCCCGGGCTGGGCTGTCCCCGCTGGGGGCTCCTCCGGCGGGTCCGGCCGGCTGCTGCCGGCGCCGGGCTCTGAGGAGCGGCTCCCCGGGGCTGGGCAGCCCCAGGGCTCCCGCTGTGCGCTGAGGGAGCCCCGCGGCTCGGAGCGCGGCGGGGAACTTGAGCGTTTGGGTAGCGCAGAGACCCGATTTTAATCTGCTTAGAGCTGGGACCCTTCTGGCTCCGGCTCTGCTGATGCTCGGAGGATGAGAGAAAAATCCCAAGAAAGCCCTTAATGATTCGCGTAAAAGAGCTGGACTCGATGATCCCCGTGGGTCCTTTCCAGCTCGGAATATTCTGGGATTGTGTGACTTGGAAAGAGCGTGACAAGGGTGCAGTCTGGCTCCTTTAGGCTTTAAAAAAAAAGCCCCAGATTTGTCACTGACAGGGCTTGTCTCTATCAGATTTAATCGGCTGTTAATAAGGAAGCTTTTCTGTCCGTCTCCAGCTCATTTTTTCGCCATCCCCGTGAGGAAAACGGCGCTTGGCAGGAGAGATGCTTTTACCGAACACCTTCGAGCTGGCTCGGGGGAGGGGCTGGGCACGAATTTGTTAAATTTGTTAGAGACTATATGGCAGCTGATTTATCGCGATTTAAAAGCTGAGGTCAAGTAGTTCGGCTTGTTCATTCTGGTGAAGTGTCCGAGGCGGGGGAAGGGTTGGGTAGGTAAATAGGTCTATATTGCACAATTCTGTTGGAGTGGAGCAGTTCGGAAAAAAAAAAATAATAAATGTGCTTTGAGAGGCTGTAATTGTCCGCGACAGCCATTGCGGAACAGTTCTGAACGGGGGCATAGACTGAAATTGCCTGAAAATGAGTTCTGTCTCTCATTTCCCCCCCTCCCCCATTGTCCCAAAAGAAGGACTCTCATGAGAGTGTGGGCTGGGGGTAGGTCTGAAAACGTCAAATGATTGGCACCAATTGTAAGATGACTTTCTAACCACGTCAGTTTTTTATCTTGTGAGAAGTAAACTTTCTCATGTCTGTTTTTCTGTGAACTCACTTCGCCACTTGCTGCGATTTCAACTCTTTGGGGAGAGTTTCGCTCCTTTTCTTCTCATCGGGTGCTTTCTCTTCACCCATTTGGGGAGCTGTGCTCGAGTGCCAGCTGATGGCTTTTGTAACGCTCGTCCTTACTCATATCACTTTAACATCCCGACTAGATGAAGGTATTTCGTCTTTGCTTTCTCTCTGAAATGCTGAATGCTGGCAGGAAGGGTTGTGTTGTGTTTTGTGAGCAGAGTGTGTCGCTTTAAAATATTTAAGAGTGAAATCTTTGCTATAATCACGCAGGGTTTTTGTTTCTCTATCTGTTTATCAATCTCTTAATAGCCATACAAATATTTAGCACGGATTACTGAAAGTAAAACGAGTGTCAGGTCTGAAATATAATGAGTTCTTGCAGGAGAGTTAGGGACATGTGGCTCCTGGGCTTGTTGTTCAATGTGTCTTTTAACTCTTTTGCCCCCAGCACCACGGTGGCTTTCAGGGAGCAAAGTCACTGCCCTGAGCGTGTCCCCACGAGCTGGCAGCAGGTAGATCCACGCTGTTAAAGCCCCTCGTTTAGGGGGGTGATGTGTCTTAAATATATCATTATAAAGCTAACCTCGATGTTTTTTTTTTTTTTTTTTTCAAATTTGGATTTTTATCTTCTAAATGCTGCCAGTCTTGAGTTTCTAAATGAGTCAAGCATCTGGGCAGAGGTGTAGGTGAATTCCTTGCCGGGGCTGTAGCTCAGTGCTGAGATCACGGGGTTCTCTTGTTTGTGTTAGCAAAGGAGATAGAGCCCTTCAGTTGTTTGATTGCTTGGAATGGAAGGGGAGCAGCCAACAGGGACCGTGCCACGCAAGAGTACCAAAACCTCCACTGCAGCCCGTAGGAAGGGCAGGGAGCCCTTGGAGGAGTCCTCCACGGACATGGAAGTGGAAGATGAAGGCACCAGGGAGCCTGACAAAGAACCTCCCCAAGGTAGGTCTGGGCTGCCTGTGGTGGTGCTGACTGAGCTTCCTTAGCAGCAACTTGAATTTCCCAACTCTTCCAGATGGGATTTGCTCTTTTCCCTTCTACAAAGCAACGCTGAAACCCCTGGCAACTTAAAACCGGTTTTAAAGTGGTCAAAAGAGCTTGCAAAGAGTTAAGGGGTTTGGCCCAGTACAAGTGCAAAAGCAATTTGTAGACTTTCTCCTAATAAAGCCTATTTCGGAGCTCTGATCTGGAACATTGTACTTAAGATTGTGGTACAGCAGCAGGATTTTTCAAATTTATAGGCAGCCAATGGTATGGGATTTCTTGGAATGGTATAAATGTCAAGTTTATTTACTTAACTCTTAAAATGATTTGACTTTCTTTTTCATGAAGCAGTGTGTTTTCTTGAGTTCCTTGAGCTGAGCTTTCGCAGAAAAAAATCTGCAAAACCAGCAGCTGTGTAACTTTTTAGGGAGCCAGATGTGCAGTTGTTAAAGGCAGGTATTTGACAAATACATAGAAATTGGTGGCAAAAACTGCTGCTTGCTGGAAGGAGGAGTTGCTGGTGCCTGAGGAAAAGCTGCTCTGCTGATATCCAGGGGGCCAGTTTGTTTTCGTAACAAACTTCCTGTCTTTGCAGAGCAGCCGTGCTGTCATTGCAGCTTTCAGAGCCTCCTGAGAGATCCCCAAATCTTGCACAGTGGCTCTGAAATGTGGCTTTGCACTTATTCATTAGAAAGGCTTTGCCTGCTCCAGATTTGCAGATTTATTGTGATGGTTGGAGCTGTTGGAATTGCAGGGGGCCTGTTAAAGTGTGTTGGAATAAGAATTACATAATGAAAGGACAAACCCAGCGATGGGACATCTTAAGTAGCTCTTAAAAAACATTTTGTTTGTGGAAAGAAGAATTTTAATTCCACTCAGCTCATATTAATAACTACAGGCCAAAATGTAGCTTGTTTCAGACAGAAGTGATGTTTGCTTTTTCGGTTCAACATTTTAAAAGGTGTCAAATCACTGAGAGCTTACAGTTGTTTTTTTGTTGTTTTCTTTTTATCTTTCTGTTTATTTGTATGGGTTTTAGCAGCCTCAGATGAGGTGGTGGATAATCGAAGTTTAGAAGAGATTTTGGGTAGCATCACTCCTCCCCCACCTCCAGCAATGACCAGTGAACCTGGTGCTCCTCGCCTCATGATCACTCACATTGTAAACCAGAACTTCAAATCCTATGCAGGGGAGCAAATTCTGGGACCTTTTCACAAGGTATCTTTCTTTTTCCTTAAGTAGTTTTGAGCTGAAGGTAAGACTTTACTGGGTGGTATTATTCCTTCCTGCATTTTCTTCATCTAAGCTGACCTCAAAATAACTGAAAAAATATTTAAGGTTTAGAAATATTTTGATAGTAATATTCTAAATTAAGTAGAGAAAACAGCTAAGTGCAACTTTCCAATGCTGTGCAATTTTAATTTGTCAGCACAGCTTAGAAAAGCTCTCTTTTCTCTTGATTTCGTTTGCTGGAGAACTTTTAGGGCTGTGTTTGAAGACAGAATATTTTTTTGTGCCCACAAGAGACTTACGTGGCTGAGCATGAAACTTAGCTTGTGAAGGCTGTGAAGTGCAGGGCTTTGGGTTAAGCAGTGCAGCTGGGAAAGCTGAGCTGAGCTGTGGGGCTTTTATTCACTTTTACCTTGGCAGCAGAAGCTCAGCTCTCAGACACTTGCACGCACGAGGAATAATTGTGCTTGAAATGGGTGATGGACACTGGGCAGGATTTATTTCCCTCTGAAGATCACTTTTTTCCCTTCTCTGTGCAGCGTTTTTCATGTATTATCGGGCCAAATGGCAGTGGCAAATCCAATATC